TTGTTCAGCATGGGGGTGAGTAGAAAATGAAGGCTAATCATGTTTTGGGTGTACTATTCCTTTAAAATAAGTGCATTTGTTCTTAGATTGAGGAGATAAAAGAGACATTTTGCCAATGGAACAAGATAATTTACACTTAAAATAAGAAAACACAATTGTATTGTCTTATGTGTATCAGGCAGAGTTAAATTCCCTGTAGATAACGGGAAAGGTTTAGCAGTTCTATGGTAGTAGAACAAAAGACAAGGTTCTGGGGAATTGTCAACTGCCCAAGGAGAAATTTTTGATCAAATGCTAACCCAACTGTTTTTAATATTCTTTTTTGTTTCTGCATTTTTTTAATATTTTCTTTATTCATTTTTAATTTTTTCTTACTTGCTTTGATTCTGTATTATCTTCCTATATTTTAATCATGTAAAGCACTTTGCATTGTCTTTGTACTGAATTGTGCTAAAAAATTTGCCTTGCCTTGCCTTGCCTTATTTCAGCTGCATATTATCTAATTATCGTATTTTAAGAGTAAAAATACTTGTTCCATTGGCAAACTATCTCATTTACCTACTCAGATTAAGGATAAACACGCTTCGTTTAAGACATTTTTACTTATTTCTAGATAATTTTTCCAGTGCAGATCCAGCATATAAACAGTTAAAGGTAAAACTATAATCAAGTCAATCCAATAAAATCCAAACACTGTATTTAAATATTAAACTGCTCTCGTGTGCCTTCCAATACCTTTCAGCTGAAATTGGTTTATGAAGTTAGATGTTCAAAATGAGGGAAGAAAACTGCAGTAAACTGAATGAAATCGAGGACTCTGCAGCTTTTCTCGTCTTGATCCAAGTTAAATTTCCAGTCCATGCTCTGAAGCATTAAAAGGTGTTTTTGTGTTTTCTCTGCTTGCATAATCCTGTTTGGTCCACCCCCCCCCCCTCCAAGCATTAAAAGGTGTTTTTGTGTTTTCTCTGCTTGCATAATCCTGTTTGGTCCACCCCCCCCCCCTCCACACTGTGCTCCACAATAAGTCAGAATTAACAACCCTTACATTTTTGGCTGAATTATGTTGCTTAAGTTTTCTACAGTAACAGTGGTTTTACATCTCAAATGAACAAGTGACAGATCAATCTGCAAGCTTCAGTGTGATGAATCCTTTGTTTTTAGTCACGCTGCTTTTGTTTTGTCTGCAAAAGCCTCCGAGTGCAGCCTGCAGAAGATCCAGCCCTCTAAACAAAGCCTCTTATCAGGCCGCCCCCTGGATGATCGGTTTGTGACGGTAAGGAAGAGTGCGGTCATTGGAAAGACAAAAGGTTTTTTTTCTTATTGATAATTCTCCCTGTCACTGAAAAACCACAGGCCTACTATGCAGTGTCAAGGGCTTAGATCCGCTGTGAATAGAGTCTGTAATTAACTCTGAGGCTCACATCTAATTAATCTTCTTGCCAGTTTTGGCGGCACTCTGTCAATCTTTGATCTGCTTTTGTCACATGTGTTTGTCGAATGTAGGACAGTGGGGGGGGGGATGCATGCAGGGATTTTTATCCTCCTCCATCAAAGTTTAATATGCTGTAAATAGCAGGTAGTTAAGTTACACTGCTGTGTTAATGCTTAAAGGTTAGAACGTTTCGCTAACTTTAAAGCAGCTTCAGGTTGGTACAGATGTTCAAACAGCATGCAGCACAGCAGCCCTATGTAAGGGCATCATAGACCTTCTAAAAAAAGAATTAAAGGTAGGCTGTCATTCCGTTTTTACTAAGGTGGCGGCATGGTGCCCAGATGGAAAGGTGCCCACAGCAAAGACTAATAATGAGACTTTGGTTTGGAGGTCTGCCACAAACACTCCACTGGTGCCAAAGAGCTGAGTCCTTATGTGCAGCTGATCCTTCTGCCCTGAGAAAGCAACCTGTTGGAAGTCCAGCGAGCATGGGCGGATCTACAAAGGTGTCAACGGGGGCCACTGCCCCTGTAGATCATGTCCTGGCCCCTGTTATGAAGACACAATACTCAAAGAAATTCTAATGATGATCTGAGCTGGAACTCACATGGCTACTGATAGCTCCTTTGGATCTATTTCATTTTTTTCTATTTTATTAATTATTTAAAAACAATAACATGATCGATTCAGAGGGATTGAGAAAGGATCCCAGTTTTCACTTGCTAAATGTTTTTTTTTTTTTCAAAACAAAAATGTTCTAATTCAGATTTTAGAGAAAAGGGTCATTTCAAATTAAGTCAGAAATATGTTTAATTCCTAAATTATGAATGTATATTGACCTAATAAGACATAGAATTTTAATTAAACCCAATTGAATAGAAATATCACTTCATGCAGCTATTTTAATATATTTGAATCTCTTGACCTGTTTTTAATTTCATGCTTTTCTTGGCCCTTATGAAAACACGCTGGCCCCCTCCTGGCCCCCTCCTGGCCCCCTCCTGGCCCCCTGGTACCTTTGGTCTAGTCTGGTCACTGCAGTGAGTATCTGTATTATTCTAATAAAGGACGATGGACAATATCTAAAAAGTTTTTCAGTATAAGCGATTTTTTTTCTTCTCTTTCGCTGCTCTCTCTCTTTTTATTCTCATCAACCTGCTATAGAAACTCCAGGGAATTCAAAGCAAAGGTCATAAAAATGCCTCCTAAACTCATTAATCTCCTTTTTAACCTCACAACAGGAACAGCAAATTAACAAAGGTTGTTTGTACAGTTCTGACTGGTTCCAGAACAGCTGCACCTCCATGCAGGTAGGAAGAGGAAATTGGGAGAGAGTATTGATTTAATAAACATTGAAGACAAAATGTGACAGAATTTAATTTCATGCTTTACGTTTAATTATCCTGTTATATAAAGAGAGGATGGTGGGGGCAGTGGTTAGCGTTCACGACCCATCTATAGAGGCCTTAGTCCTCGATGCAGGCAACCCGGGTTCGAATCCGGCCTTTGGTCCTTTGCTGCCTGTCTCTGCCCCCCCCTCCTGTCAGCCTACTGTACAAAAAATGATCCACTTGTGCCTTAAAAAAGTGCCAGACTGTAAAAAGTGGATTGATATGATGAAATATGCATAAAATCTAAATAAATAATATAGATTATTCATTTTCTCTTCTTTTTTCTAAATCACAAAATCATCTAGGATGGCAGAACTAAGCTTAAACTCAGAACAGAACTTAAGGAAGTTTCTAAAACTAACAAGAGACTGGAAGGCTAAGTTATAAATATTTAAAGGTGGAAATTAAAGTTATCAACTTAAATAACCCCATTAACTCAGCAGCTATTTATAAATAAATAAAATAAATCCTCTGGACTTTGTTTCCAAGTTTGAAGACGTTTCTCTTC